AAAATGAAGTATTCATTTATTTACACTTCAATATCTTGATCTTACATATAAAAATAGTTTACATAACTTATTAGGAAACGGGTGGCCTTATCGCTAACGAGCGATTTCTTCCAGGCAATCCTAGAATGAAAAATAAATAAAAAATATAGCTGAGGGTAAAGTACAAAAAAAAATTAAATTACATGTAACACTAGAAATATACTAAACTAAAACTAAATTAAACTAACCTTAGGGTTAATTAGTCGTAATTAAGCAGAAGAGAAATGCTCATTAAGAAGATTCTAAAATAAACTTAAAAAGCTGGTTTGATATCAAAAGGCGATCCAGAGCTTAGGATACTTTGCACAGTAAAGAAGGAGTGATAGAATTCAGTAATGTAGATAATAGCAATTACGTCTTGCAAATTTGTATTTATTCGGTACATTTTAAATTTTATCTTTTAACAATTGAAAACATATCAAAGCAAAGTTTCATTTTCTGTGGCAAAAGTTTCTTAACAAACTCTCAAGTTATTAAAAGGCAGCGAACTCATTTCGGCTTATTTTCTCATATTGCGTAATAATGCCATTTCTTTTCTCGTCGGTGAGTAGTAATCAGAGTTTTTCGTTATGTCGTTCTGTTGCCTCCCTAATGAACTCGTAACAACGTATTAGGGAATTGTCAGGTTTCGCGCGAAAAGTTTAAAATGCGTTAGCAATGACTTTCATTATCAAACGTTGAGTCGGAAATCAAAATTCGACCTCTGTCTCCTGAACGTCCTTACAACAGAGCATATATATATGTATATGAATTGTTAAATTTATGAATTGTTACAAATTAGGTAATTTTTCCGCAATATCAGAGAATGTACTGGAGTGGCCAGTCTAGAACAGCTGATGCGCTTGGCGAAGAATAATAAGTATGACGAGCTGACCGCCAACGTCCATTAGTGGAGAGGCACGGCACTACAAGAAAAAGAAGAAGAAGGTCATTTTATTTAAAAATAGAACGTAGCAGCAGGTGTGGCGGCGGTTAAACACTTAATCTAATATTGGTAGAGACAAAACTTTTTTCATTGCACTAGAAATTATACTTAAATTTCTGAATAAAAAGGATTTCATATTTTATTTCAACGTCAGTTAACCCACCAAACTGCATTTTCAACATTAAGTACGTACTCGTCGGCCGATTTAAGTTCATCTCCAATTGAAGAAAGAAAGGCATAGAGAAGACGGCGATAAAAATGCGAAATCCTCTTGCAGTGGAATTGCGTATCGGGGCTCAGACGGAGTGTAATCTGCCGCCTACGGAACCCAAACGCTCCTGTAAGCTTCTCTTGCACTTGCAAAGATTAATATAAAGATGTGGCATTTAGATTTAAAAATGCAAAGTTATTAGCAAGGAGTAAATTGAAGAACAAAAACGTGTGTGTACACGCGTTAGAAGTTATACTTCTTTGGCGTAACAAAATTATATTCTACGTTTGTAGAAAAAACGACACTAACAATAGAAAAAACTAAAATATTGACTATAGCTACTAACTTCAGGGTGTCGGTTTTTTTGTGGCGCATCGTAAAAATTAACTGTCATAATTTTTCCCTAATGCGCCAAAAGAAGTATAACTTCAAAAAAACGAAGTAACGAAACTATTAAAAATAAAGTATCAAATTATTAATAAGATTTAATGTAGCGTATCCGATATAATTAATCTGTTGTGGTAATATTCAAATCCGTTGGTCGTTTCACGTGTAAAAGAGTGCAGGTAAGTATTATAACCACATTGTGGAGACTTCGATTTTGCCTTGCCCTACGCTGATTCGAGTATGTGGACATCTGCGAATCGTACATGTTCTATGATCGGTGCATGGAATCGCGCCAGAACTAAATGAAATTGAAATTAGCTTTCTCTCCCCAGAGCCATTTGCGGAATTTCCGAAAAAAAAAGCGTATTATATTTTAAATAGATCTCAGATTCACTATAATGTAATTTAAATCGATGATGAGAAATATATTTAAGTCGTATCCCGGGTGACATGATATTAAATTAAAAATATTGTACTCGAGTATTCTAGAGGTCCTTTATACTTCATGGCGATTATTATAGCTTTGCAATATTACTTCCATACGTGGGATGACGTTTTAAGTTATGAATATGGCGGGGCTACGCAGCGCTGAATTCAAATGCTTGTAAGTTATTCAAATCGATTTTACGTCGATTCGAAATTTAGCCCTGGATATCTGAGTAGCCATTTCACCATTTTGACTTTACTCATTTACGATTCAATAGTATCTATAAAGAATAGACCTCTTAAAGATTCCGTAAGCGCCAAAACTGATAAATGTCCAAATCCAGTTAAATGCAAATAATATTGTATTTTCCAGCTGGAAATCCATCGTAGTAAAGAAATATTGGGCAATAGAACCGGTAGCGCTGTGTCGCTGCATACTTGATTACCGTGGGAAACAAGCATCCCGCGAAACTCGAACTACTGCGAACTTTTAAACCTATTTTTGATAGTTTTGATTGGTATTTCATTAATAGGCTTTGTGATGGTGAGAATGTAAAACAAAAGATGAAATAATGGACTACTGGAGTAATGATGCTGTTGACAAAACGTTTTGTTTCGTATTTTAAATCCCCACCCTTCATGTGATGGTTATTATGATCTTCATTATATCGTCTGTGGCTACTGAGCCAGTGCGTATAAATCTGTGCAATTTTCGGTTCAAATAAGTAATTGAATATTGTAATAAATTGTGTTGGTTAGCCACATTGCAAGAGTATGTTTATGAATCATTAATGTAAATAATGTACTATTTTCTTATTGAATGGAAAAAAGTGTTGCCAGACTAAGAGGGCCCCATTGCCGCACGGCTGGACAAAAAGCCCCGCCGGAGAACTAACACACGCCGTTTGCTGACCAAACGTGCAGTAACTCAATACACAAGCTCTTGTCTCAATTTTGGATACGGTATACATTAAAAAGCAGTGTAGGCCTAGTGGCTTCAGCGTGCGACTCTCATACCTGAGGTCGTAGATTCGACCCCGGCTGTGCACCAATGGACTTTCTTTCTATCTGCGCATTTAACATTTGCTCGAACGGTAAAGGAAAACATAGTGAGGAAACCGACATGTCTTATACCCTAAAAGGCGTGTGTTGAGGCTGATCACCTACTTGCCTATTCGATTTAAAAAAATGAAACAGATTTAATCTGAGGCCAAGACCTAAAGAGGTTGTAGCGCCACAGATTTATTTATTTTTTATACATTAAAAAGACTATCCAGATTACTGAAATAACTTTTCTGACGTCTAAATGGACTTTGGTCAGCTTGGTGATTCATCGTTCATTAAATTTAGACATATATAATACATATATGCATAGTTTAAAATTATTATTTAATATACGGTTTATTATGTACACGTATAAATTTAGTTTTTATTGGAACACTATACAACAAAGCCTTCTTTAAAAAAAAGTATTCCCGAAAGTACCATATCCAAAACCCATAATTTTTCATGAGGCACCGAGAAGTTGAATTAGCAACATTTTATGTATTCGCCGCGCGATGTGTTGGTTTTTTCGCTTCCTCTGGCGTAGCATCCGTGCGTGAACTCACATGTCTATATATATTATATTGTGCACTTAAATTTACGATAAAGATAAAAACTTCTTTTAATTTGAAGAAGGTACTATTAATAATTAATGAAGGTACGATTGTAATTATGGCATTACCTTATTATAATAGCGTTATAGCATATGGTTAGCCGTTAGGAAAATTGAAACTATCTGACCAAAGCATTACATAAGATTAGATTATCGGCAATCTATTTTTAGACAACTAGTATTGGGCTCGTAAGGATGTAACCATATAATGGATTTCTGATCTATCCTTGCGATTGAACTTTGACGCTGTAGATTCGAAGATTTAGAAGTCTGAAAACATCATTAATATTATTTTATTGATTAGATGTAATTAAGTCAATATTGTTGGTAGGGTAATAAAAGTTGGTCATTTCTCAAAGAAGTACACCTGTTCTTGGAATAATGTGAAAAAGGTTTCACTCGAAAATCTCACCTAAAAAGTTTTTATGTCGTTTGACCTGTCCTTTACTTCAGATCATTGTTTATTATATTCTTTCCAGCTAGTCTGTAGAAAATTCCACATTCTAATAACAAATAAATACGCGAAATACTATTTCAATGAACAATTTAGCGTTTTTTTTTTTGTTATTAGCCACGTTTCACAAGGTATTACTATTATTTCGCTATCAAATGCGCCTGCGTCTTATTTTAATGAAAACTGTTTTATCTTATCTTGTAAGAGGTTCGTTTACAAGTTCGGCCTACACCCTCTGTCTTCTTTGCCGGTGAGCAGGGATGTCTACCGATTCAAATTTAACGACGTGGAATAAGTGATACATGTATCTTATATTCCATAATAAACACATTTTATTTTAACTAGAGTGAATTAAAGATTTTATCCTGAGTATTGATACAAATAATTAAAGAACGCGTATTTTATAATCATGTCACATTAATTAATACCTGAGTTTCATCATTAGACAATGATGAAGACACAATACGAAATTCCACCCGTATCACCTCGACGTACGTCATTTCACAACTGAGCGTTCTTTAAGGCAGTTTCTGCCGTGCACCACAACTATGTGGCTGTCCACTGAAGTATTTCCGAATCAATTTGACTTAAGGCCCTTCAGGAAAAGAGCCTACTAATTCATAAAAAGCCAACAACGCACTTGGCCTCTGGCAATGTGTCTATGGGCTGCGGTATAACTTATCAGATGGGCCTTCTGCCCCCAGTTATACAAAAAAACAGTGAACTTTTTTTTTATTGGAACAACGAGCTGTTATATACGAAAACAACTTACACAATTCGTGTAGAAAATGAGATAAAATAAACAAATATATTTATTTCAATAAAACATTTACAACATTGACGATTCATGTTTTTCTATAATTATATTTTCTAATTACACAGCAGTTAATTAACTATTATGTTAAGCCGTCTTCGCCTTCCGATCCTTTAAGAGGCTACTAATAAATAGTTCGCCAGCCCGGTATGAAGACCTGACCAGAGGTCCGCTTGCCGTGTAGAGGAAGCCAAGTTCCGTTCCACGCTGTTCCCATTCGGCGAACTTGGCTGGAGTCACGTACTCCTGCACCCGCAGGTGACGCTTGGTCGGCTGCATATATTGGCCCAGCGTGAGGCAATCCACTCCGACTGCTCGGAGATCTGAAAGTTACATATTTTTGACTCTTTTTTCTAATTAACGTATAACCTTTTTAATTTCATATACACATTCGTTTTATAAGTAGATGACCCGGTGAACTTTGAATCACCGAAAATTTCGAAAACATCGAGAAAACTTTGTCAAGAGATCAGATCTCATACTACAGCTGTGAAACAAATTTCTGAAGGCGTTCGTCATAAATATACCACAACCAAATGACAATTTTTATTTCTCAGTTAGGAACAGTTTTTATTGGATAATTCAATTGTCGTTTTTAGTATTTTCTTTACTTATTATGAACCTTGAACTTCCACAAATATATCAAAATCATAATTAGCTTAATCTGTCTAGATTAGATAATTAGCGGGATAGACGAACAGGACTTAATGTATATAAATATCTAATATAACTATTTAATAAAAATTGAAATAGCGCCATCTACTTCTACGCGAGAAAAGCTCAATCAAGTATGAATTTAAAAGACTCGAAAATTAGTTGTGTTTAAACCATACTTTATAAAATGTAAATAGGAAGAAGAATTAAAACTATTAAATAAAATATTGTCTCTATCATCTATTTGTGCAATTTTCTTATACATATGTATATATAGAGACACAAGGCTTACCTACTTGGCTAAACAGGAAAATGGTCAATTAATATAGAAAATATTATAGGCCGCAATTAAGGTTGTAGCTCCAAATGTTTAACTAACAAAAATAATATAATCGACTCTTGTAGTGTGTATAACCAAATAATATAATATTAATTAATATCAAATATCTGCGACAAGAAAACGGTAACGTCCTAAATGATTATTTGTAACTTTTGAATTTCATGTTAATTTTTTCATTTCCATTTAATCATTGCAATATTTATTTTTGTACTAATGGTGCTTTATGGGGAAGAACTGGCACTGATTCATTATTTATTATTAAATAATTGTAATTATTATTAACTAGCGGCCTGTCTCGGCTTCACACGCGTGGAAATTGATTTTAGAATTTTTTTTAGATATTGTTCTCCTTTAATATTATGGAACAAATTTTTTTCATCTATCATCAATAGTTTTCGCAGCGCATGCGATCAAAGATATTTTATTTACACCTTGGGTAACAATATTGTAGTTTCAGTAGGAATCCTTATTTTTTCTCGCAATTAAGCCTATATTAATCAACGATAATGTAGCATTCAAATGGTGAAAGAGTTTTTAAAATCGGTCCAGTACTTTTTGAGCCAATTCGTTACAAACATACTTACATACAAATCTTTCCTGTTTATAAAATGAGTATAGATGGGGAGATTGAAGTCTCAATTCTGCAAATAATACATTAATGATTTAAATGTACCTTTCATAGTCTGTTCCACTTGTTGGTCCGTCTCCCCGAGGCCCAGCATTATTGAGGATTTTGTAATTAAATCTGGATTTATCTCTTTGGCTGTTTCGAGGACTTTCAACGTCTGACGGTAACTAAAATCAATTTACATAATTATTTAAACTCTAAGACCTAAGTATAGAAAATAATTATGCTGAATATAGAGATGTAGGCTAGTACGTGTGTTGTGTCTACTTTTAAAATAGTTTTACTTCTCAAGAGAAAATTGATAAATTCTACGAAGACTTAGCAAAAGCGCTATATATGGGAGATTTGCACAAATAGGATGCTTTTACCTGTGGGTAAACCTTTTAAACCTTTTTTATTTTTTTTACTTACTTTTAATGTCTAGTGTCGTATATGTGTTTGTATTTTAATGGAATAAATAAAGCTATATTATTATGACATACTATCTTATTACAACTGCCGGAATGGATATTAATTCAAACGTCCATCTTTTAGCCAAACACAAGTCACTTCCTCTCCACTTTGGGCGCCAAGAACTACTTTATTACAAAGATTTAGTTGTCATTATTCAATATATTCAAGTATATCTATGGAAGATAGCTAGCTAAATCAGACCACATTGCCAGATTCAGGGCCATTCCTTCCCATCTCTTCACCGTGGAGATTGGAGCTTTCGATAATATTAATGTGATCCCTTATTGTTACCGCAGGAAGGTGCTCTTCGAAGCGAAGCGATAATGACAAATATTTACTATTTATTTTATATTGTAGTTCATGAGAGCTACGTTGTAGCGGTGAGGAGTAAGTTGTGATCGGCTAAAAGACGGAAATACGGAATCTGTATGTCGTAGGAAGATCACAAATATTGTACAGCAAATGAATATCATATCTGTTAATAGCAGTAAAATAAATTTAAAAAATGTGTTTTTGCTTTCTCTAAAATAAACAAAACTAAAGACGGAATTTGTATCACAATCTTGTCTTGAGAACTGTCAACCTATTGATAAAGATATTCGAAATAAATGACGGTACCCAGCTCTCCGGTCCCTCACAAACGGCGTTAGGCGTTCCACGGTTTCAATATTATGCGCAAACACATCCAGACTACTATTAGCAACGGTGGCTATACTGTCTCGGTTGCCACGGAAATCTGGCACCAGACATTCCACTAAGATCTCCTTGTTTCTGAAAAAAAAAACAAGAAAATCAGCTCTCTAGTATATGGGCATTCACTACTGTTATGACTACTGTTAAGTCTTACTTGGCATATATTAAATCTAGTATAGATTCCATGATCGATTCCTAAAGATACACTTTATATTAAAAATTAAACATCATACCCCATTAAAATTATTATATAACTATTATTGCAGTATTTTAATTAAAATATTTTTCAGTTAAAACGGTGCAATTATCCTAATTTTTTTAAATATTTTTTTTAATATACATAAAAACTTTATGACCAAAGCAGATTGTTTCTATATTCCAAAGTGAAAAAAATTCATTAATTAAAATCCAATCCACTCAAAACTTGTTTTACTGCAGTCATTTTAATTTATACAAACACTTACTGTTGTTTAATTTCTCTAACAGTCTCCGCAAGATGAGCCGAACCACCATCTGGCAAATCTAGAAATATAAATAAATTATGTTTATTTATCACATAAATAATACACAATATGGAGGTAATAGTAACAAACCATCACGATCTACAGATGTCAACACAATGTACCCGAGACCCCATTGTTTAATAGCATGTGCCGTGTTATATGGCTCCTCTGGGTCAAGTGGGGGGGGAGCCCGAGATGTCTTCACAGAACAGAACATGCAGCCACGAGTACATGTGTCGCCCATTAACTGTAACATAAAATACTTACTTTACACAAATTTTTAATAACATATATTTCAGTGTTAGCCTAGTTGTTAACTGTTAAGCATGCAGGTCTGTAACTTGAGATTGACAGCAACCAGCGCTAGGCCAGCCAGCATTACACATTATAGTCTTCCATCCTAGCACAAGGTTGTTGTTGATTATGACATCTAATGGAAACCATATACTCAAGCTATATTAATCCCCAAAAATATTCATTGAGAGTTTGTGACACAGGAAGTTATTACAATAAATCTTTTAAAAAGCAAGCAAAATAATACACATAATGTTAAGTGACCTTAATTATCATTATAATCACTTGCTCACCTTAATATATAAAAATTCATTAATATATTTCAAATGATTTAAATAAATATTTTTTCACATAAACATGATTATTAGTGGTTTTTAGCTAATCTAGTCATTCATTGAAAATACACTATACATCATTTCTAATCACAATTCAATCAACCATATACCATAATAGTAGCTGTAGACATTCCATGTTTTCCACCACTCCAACATTCACCTATATTTGGACATCGAGCTTCCTCACAGACTGTACTGAGTTTTAAGCTTCTCAATTGCTGCTTTAATTCACTAAACTTTGACCCTGTAAACATATACCTAAAAAATTCACTTGAAAACTAAAAATAATTGTATTTATATAATATCATTATTAAAATAAGATACTCATTCAATAATCATTATGCAAGATTTCTTTGAATAGTTAAACATACCAGTTGGAATAGTAGTCTTCAGCCAAGGTGGTAGTCTCAGACGTTCTGTTTCCCCTTGTTCTCGTTTTAACTTCCCTTCATAGTCATCCCAATTCTTAGGCCGATCTTCTGACACAAAGTCTGCTAAAGTAGGACCTTGTCGCAATTTCTCTCGGATTTCATCAAGTTTACTTGTTGTAGCTGTATGTTTACATCTTTGTAACTAGGTAAGAATATGGTTAAGTTAAGGTATTGTACTATTTAACGTGTGCTTAACACTTACTACATAATAGCACAATTATTATAGACATGACTAAAGTAAATAATTTATCCGATATTCTTAAAGTATACTGAATAATATAAATTACCTCATACGGTTTTGAGACGGTGAAACATCTAGCAGAACTGCGAAACATTTTGAATTTTCCGAAATAGCATAATAAAATTGAATAGATCTAAAACAGCCAAGGTTAACACTTAACAGTGGTTTAGATAATTTTGAGTGGAAACTCGAATCTACGAAGATGAAAAATGTTTACTATTAAAAATTATATATGTAATGACAATTCACGATTCACAAGTTAACATTAACGTAAAACAGCTGTTCGACCTTAGACATTGGTCAGTAATATTGACAAATGGTAGCCCGATTTGACATATACCCTCACTGATTTGACGTATAGGTATATGATCAGCATCGGCATTCAGCATAGCATTAGCTGTCAAATATTTATTTAAAAATTATAAATTAATGCTTCATAATTCATATCATTCCTTTCTCATGGTATGTGAAAATATAACAATGAAAACCATCTGTTAAATATGAGAACTGTAGAATCGCATTTATTGGGTGATAAAATAGATGAGGCTGTAACCCATTATATAAATACACACCAGTCGGCCGAGGTATGTAATATATAAATTCTTAAAAACTAAAAAATATTATATCGAAATATGTCGCACCATAATCTACAAACTTTGTTTTACCATGTTGTTTCAGACAGTCCATGTAGATCCCAATTTATCTTTAAACATTCAAGATGATGGAGGTGGTAGAGTGGTTACTGTTATGCACCCACAAGGCTATCAACAGCAGGTTTGCAGGTATGTCAAGTGCTGACAATACTAGAGTATAGAGACTATAGAGTGCTTAGTACTATACCAATGATATTTTATAATTGGTTACTTTGTTAATACTGTAAGATTCTATCACAAAACATCCATAAACCATCTTACTGCTTCATCCTATGATGCTTCAATTACAGAAATGCTTTTTAAGTTATAAAAAATAACTGTTAACAAAACCTAATTTAAACTGGTTTGACAAAATTAGTCTTAATTCTAGTTAAGTTTTTTTTTTGAAATATTTGAAAAGTATACAAATACTTGTCCCCAGACAGATATCGGTGGGTGAGCAGATTGGAGATGGACCTTGGGCTGAAGAATTATGGGATGGCAGGCTTGCTGCACTTGTGGCGCATCTGGCCCAACCTAGTCGCACTTCTCTTCACCAGGGACAAAACCCTCATCATAAGGTACTGACTATTTAAAGCCATTTATGGCAACTACTATTCAAATGACACCTATATCTCTGGTCTGATGAGTTGCATGTACAACATAGTAAAGTTTTTTGCAAGCCTTTAAAATAAAGCAAACATTACAATGATTCAAACACTAGATTTTTAAACCTGCATATGTTTTAAATTAATATGAAGTATGATTATATTAGTGACAGGGCATGAAAAATGAGATATGGAAATATAGCATTAATAGGCTGTTTACAATACACATAAAAACTATACTAGTATCATTATACCTAGTATGAGAACTGGCAGTAAATATAACATTAGAAGCATTATTTTTTTGTATTGTACACTTACATTGTTTTACCTATATAAATAAATGATTTTGATACCATGCATGTACAGGGGCATATGAGCATACCTATCAACCCAAAACACTACAATGTGTGTGAAGAACGTTTAGGTGTTAATTATTGAAATAATTAAAATATTGTCACAACTGGATAAAAGGGGTTTAAAACTCTTAAATTCTAGTTGGTTACAAGAATTAAAGAAACTTTAGATTGTCTTTATAATTGTGTGTAATTTGATTTCTTACAGGAACATAAACTTATTTGCAATTATCTGAAAATTAATATTTGCTCTTATTAAATAAATATATTTTACAGCCGTCAACAATAGTACGAAGTGATATGGATACATCTGTAATTCTGGATGGTTCTATGAGGCTTTTTAATGGACAGTCTTTGGTGAGATATAGATATTATGTTTAATTTAACTATGTAACATTCAATTATTGCCTTTTTAACATTATTGTGAATTGTAAGTTTGTAGCATTTATGTTTTTATTACGACTCTTTAAAACACTACTAGTTTTTAAGTTACCAATCTGTTTTACATGTAAGTAATCTGTATTGTAAACTTCTTACAATATTAGGAGCACCATCAGGAGCAGTTACCGGTACAAGTGTCAGACCTACCGCTACCTCCACTCCAGGATATGAAAAGGTGCTCTGACACGGGTTGGTTTAATAAGAAGGATACAGTAAAGGTAAATAAAGTCATCTTCATATCTTTACATTGTGTAATGAAATAGTATAAAATGATGCTTTGGCATTTCCAGGGTGATAGTGAAATTTTAGAAGATAGTCGGATGCTGGAAATGGCATGCGGTTCACCGGCACAAAGTAAGCAGAACAAGAAGAGCTTGCCACATAAAAAACGGATCTCGAGGAAGTTAAAGAGGAACACTGGCAATACAACACCGAGTCAGCAGGTACATGTAACTACATTTTTTTAACCGCGGTCACCATTATTGCTTTGAACTCTAGTTTGTAAATGGATTTGATTGCTATGTGTGAAAAAATTCTATTATTTTACAATGCACCAACGTTTGTCCGGTATGCTAACATCTGAATCCTCATTTCTATGATAGAAATTGTCTTGATTGAAATCTGAAATGTATTTTAAGGATATATATATTTGGGTAAAAAAATGAGAGAATGAAGATTTGAAGTATGTAATCATAACATTCAACTTTTTTTTTCCCAACATAAAACATATTTTATTTAAGATTTACTATTAAGATCTTGCAGTTACTGTTTAAAAATATTGTATTAAAAAAAGTGTGTGTGTGTCAGCTACGACGCACGTTTGGAGTTTACTCCTTACGAACGATAATTATGATATATATCGAATTGAAAAAAAGGGTAAATGGACGCATCTGCTAAAATGATAAGAGAAAAAAACATATATCTGTAATTATTCGGATTATTTATATTAAGCGTATTACATAAAGTATGTTACAAAACAATATAAATAAATAATAATAATAACATAATACTCTTAGACTCTTATGTCATTTAACTGGTATAATCATGAAATAAGGACTAATTTATGTTATTAATAAATATGTCCTTTTACCATCCAAAACTTAATAAAAGTTCTACCTGTTCGTATTTAAAATGTATATTATTCATAAATGTAAACGATAAGCTTACCAATTAACCGCATCCATGTGTTTTAGAATGAGATACGCTGTGTAATGTATTCCATCTCATTCTTTTACATGTTCAATCCTACAGATATATAAGTTTGTCTCTTTCTACATAACGCCTCAACTTTTCGTGTTACACTTGATTTTACTCCTCATAAAATTTCCGTACCGGGCCTTATAACTGAAATTGTTTCTTAAGGAGTAAACTCCAAAAATATTTTCTGAGCAAACGATAACAAATGCTAATGATTTAATTGTTTTTGGAAAACCGATGTTTTACTTTAAATTAAGAATTATAAAGTTACTTGCCTCTTCACAATATTGCAATTTACCAGGTGTCCAGTGCCTCACCAGATTGATTTGAAATCAGTAAAATCTAAGAAATTTGATGTTTGTATGATATCTTCTCTATACACTTGTAACTTGTACTGTAATACAATGAATAAGTTTGAAAAGTGTAAAATATATTGATGGGAATTATAACTATAAAAAAGGGTCCGTGTACTTATGTACGCGCGTAAGAAGTTATACTTCTTTGGCATTATTAAAAATAGTTTGGCTTTGTTCCACCTCCAGTTTTTGATGTTTCACAGCGATAAGATGACAACTTTTTTTTGTATTCAATTTAGTGCACTTACACTGATTCATCAATTGTTTTTTGTCTCTTGTCCTTATATTTGCTAGATTAAATCAGAAAAATTACATGTTTTGATTAAACAATGTGGTCATTTTTTAATCAAAACATTACTCGATAATAATAATACAAACTGATAGTTAACCTCAATTGTATTGAAGCACTTAGGAAGGTTGATCAGCACAGTTTTTTCACAAATATTAATTAGTATTGGTTTAAATATTCAATTTAAATCACTTCTGATTATAATTCAAAAAGCATTGCTAAATTTCTTTGAAAAAATAATTAAAACTCCTTTATTTGTTTAAAAGGTAAATGACAAATGTCATTATGGTCATTCAAAATTCTTGGCATAGCTGCGATTTGCGAACTTCACGCATATTCTATTTCTTTTTACTTGTAGATTGTCCTATCTCGCTCGCGCACGCTATAATCACACTCCTAATTTTGTGTCACAGGTGCGCGCGCATTGTAAAATTTCACTCTCATCAATTTTTCATAACGCGCCTAAAGAAGTATAACTTCAAAAATCTTTCAGGACATCGTAGTGATGCAATGCAATGAGGAAGTTCAGCCGGAGCAGGAGGAGATTCTCCCCGACAGTTTCGTGGATTCTATGCCTCGACACCATGATGAAGACCAGTTGCCAGTTCACACACACGTTTCTCAGGTGAGGAATTCAAAATTGTTGTTTGCTTACTCGCGTACTACACTTTTAACTTTATATATTTCTCGACATTTCGATTTATAGTGGTCAGTGAGAGATTATTAAAAGAAGCATTTTATGGTAAATTCGCGTTTAGAGTATGTGCGGAAAGAGATTGGCTATGCGTCATTTCATTTTCTCATATTAAATATTAAGCTGCTTGCTGTTGAACTATAATGACGTCACAGTGTTCTCAACCATTTTCCTCAAGTTTCATCATCGGGCGTTGAGGCAGAATACGAAATTCCATCCGTATCACCTCGACGTCCGTCGTTCCACAACTGAGCGTTTTTAAGGCAAAGTCGTTTTATGTAGTTTTAAAATGTTTAACTTCACATTTTGTGATGTTGCAAATCATGAACTGTTTTATACATTAATTATTAACTATTTTTTATTGCACCACATTTGAATCACTGCAGAGTATCTGGTCACTAACACAGGGATCCCCCCGTGGGGACTGGTGTCTTTATAATTTAATAAAAAAGATTACAAGGAGACTGATCTATTTCGTATATACTATCCTCCTTTAACATAACCATTTGTATATCCAGATCCGTGCAATGTTAGTCTGTCAGCTTTGCGGTCAATTCTTTGGGGAGGAACAGCTGAAGTTCTACCATCACCTGCGGCATCACTACGAACCGCCTGCCGCTCTCAGTATCGACAACCCCGTGCCTGACATTGCGATTGATAAGGTCAATTGTCATCATTTATAAGCTACTCGGATATATTTTCATGATGCTTACTAATATTTTTATAAATCAAAAATTGATGTCTAGAGCTTTATATTTATAAATATATAAAACAAAGTCGTGTTAGTTACACCACTTATAACTCAAGATCGGTTGGACCGATATGGATATCGTATAAGTTATCGAATAACAATAAATTTATTAATTAATTTTCCGAACGCAAACAGCATGTAGTGCCATCTGTTGACAAAATTACGCATATAAGAGAAACCTACCACTTTGTTCTTACGCCGGATGACAAAACAAAAAATGTTGTATATCGGAAAGTACTTTAACATGCAGGATCGAAATATTGGCGCTAGAGAGCTGCCATTCTTTTTTCGGAATGGCAAGCAATAAAACATTTCTGTATTTGCAAAAAAGTTGAATTAATGTTATTACCTTAATAAAATCCTAAATTAAGTTTAACTAAAGTTAACGCGATATTATTAGACTGTAAGGCGGGTCGAAGTTCGCCGGGTCCGCTAGTTTATTATAATTTTAATCACAAGAGCCTAATCGATCAATCACACGCTTTTTTATAATATTTAACAATTGTCTTTTATCTCACAGATTACAAACACCTGTATAGTAGACAATGGAGCGACACTCCCCGATTCTATAGTAGAATTGTCGCTAGAAAATACGGTGCCTAAGACAATGTACCAGCCCATAGACAAGCACATACTCTACGAAAAGCCGCTCTACAAATACCCTATGGTCATGGAGAAATCTGTGGAAGGTGAATTAGACGATTCTTTGGACAAACTGGAGTTCTATTGTTGCGTTAAGTGCAATAAATCGTTTAGAAAGCAAAAACAATTTGAGGCCCATTTACGAGAGATGCATACTTTGACTAAGGTGAGTTATTTTTTTCAACTTGAAGAACTTGTTTTTGAAATCAAATCCCACAGATTTAACCTGCTCGAGTAGACACGTAGAATATTTCATATTCTACGTGTTTAAAACGTAATGAAAAGCGATTGACATATATTTTTGTTTGGTTCGGTTGCGTGCGTTTAGACACTTTTTTGTAATCATTGTATTACTCTCATTAAATCATTAATTATGTTCAGCTCTAACACAACATTCATTAAAATTAGCATTACATTAATACATTAAGTAGTAGACATCTAAATATCAGTCATTAAATTCTTCATAATGCTGATATTTGCTGCAAAAATCTATTTTCGAAACCAGTTAGAAGACATGGGCGAGTTCAGTGAGCCCGAAGATCTGATGGAGGGAATCCACGTGGCGGTGGACGAGGACCACGAGCAGGAGCCGGAGCCTGCCAACGGGCAGACGCCCGAGCAGGACGCCCACGACCAGTACGACACGGTGTTGCCACATTTGACTATCGACAATGGCCATGTGCATCAGGAGCACATTCGGCATTGGTGAGTCATCAGCAGTGGTTTATGGACAATGTGTTAAAATGTTTTTTATTGCGATTGTAAATAAAAGTATTTATTCAAAATTTGTGATGTACAATTATATCGATTCTCGTAAGGCGTGGTGTCTCTAAATAATTTTAATATTTTTGTCAATTTCCTTATCAGTTAGATTACGCTCACTTAAAATACTTACTGCTTTAGGTATTCGCGTAGCGGTGGTGAGAGCCCCGAAGTAGGCTCGATATGCGCGTGCGGCGGCACCGGCTGCTGCCCCACGTGTGCGCCGCCTTACACTCAGCAGAGGCATCAGATTGTGACAAAAGGTACTTTACACTCGCGAGTGTACGAGTCGGGTGTGCGTGCGATACGGCCAAAAAATTAGGGGATTCTCACTATACAATTTTTCATTATGCGAGCGTTCATTACAAATGTTGAATATATATAGCAACATCGATTGAAACGTCATGTGAAACTGTACTAAACGAATTCTATTACAGAGCTACAAAATCTGCTGGAGACAAACGTACCGACGAATCCCGCTCAAGAAAATCACAAGGAAAATGAGAAGTCTCCTAAAAAGGCCAAAAAGAAATCCAACAGGAAATTCGAGTGCGTCCAGTGTGGACGGGTGTTCGATCACCGAAACAGCATGCTGTACCATCTTCTCATGCACCAGAGCAAGAAGCACTCGTGTAATGTTTGTGGGAAACGGTTTTTCACCACTGGTTCGCTTAAGGTATTTATTACCTCTTTTTTTATTGAAGTGAAACTTCTTTTGGCGCGTTAGGGAAAAATGATGATGGTAAATACGATGCGCGCGTACACTGTCACAAAAAACTGACACCCTGAAGTTAGCTATGGTCAACATTTTAGTTTTTTCAATTGTTGGTGTACGAACGTAGATAACATTTTTGAAAAGATTTTTATCTTGTATTAACGCGTGTACATAAGTACACACATGTTTTTTTATATTTAAAGGGTTCGACAGCCTGATAATGCATTTATCAAATACTTTTAAATTATTAGCTAGATATCAATAGGCAATGTACATTTATGTTCCAGGTTCACAAACGAACTCACGACGGCGTCAGACCTTGGAAGTGCGAAGAGTGCGGACAATGCTTCCGACGATCGGGAGACCTCAAGTACCACAAGGACTCCAAACATTCCAATGAGGTGAATATACTTGTCTCCCTTCATCACGCCGTACTCTCATTTAGCAGAGAGAGATTTGCCATTTTGTCAAATACATTGTGAGTTTAACTGTATTCAGAAATTGAGCAGCTATAATAGAATAGTTAAGGAAATTTTTAAAAACAAAACGAAGAAATATTCATTAAACATTATAAATACATACATAGATATATAAATAGTAATTTTAATTTGAGTAATTATTATTGATTTGTGTGTTGATTGTACGTTATACGTAATGAGTAGGAAATAATTTTTTAATTTTAATATCTTAGGAAAATAACTTGAACACTGGGTTTTATTAAGTTAAACTTTATCAAATAAATCTAAACTAAATATTTATCATCTGTTTTTGACTGCTCTCAGCCGTTGAATCTCAGCCAGGATTTTCTTTTTGTTATGTTTATTTGAGTTTCCAACTTTAATTGATAATCCTGTGCCTGTAATCTATCTAATTAATAATAAAATAATAATAATAATAATAAGCCTTTATTCATCTACATCTTATTGACATACATTTAATAAAGATATATATAAATACAATTTTAACTAAGATGCGGCCCCCGTCCGGGAGAAGGCCTCCTCCAAATTTTTCATCTAATTAGTGATCGTTAATTCCAGAAACGGTTCAAATGCGAATTCTGCGTGAAAGAGTTCTCCCGGCGGTACTCCTTGAGCGTCCACCGCAGCATTCACACGGGCGAACGGAACTACCCTTGCGACGTTTGCCACAAGAGCTTCCGGGCCGCCTCGTACAAGCAGATTCATATGCGGACACACACGGGTGAGCTCTTTGGCTGAGAAATATTTAAGAGTTTTCATCGCAAATTCATGTTAATTATTTTTTGATCAATATTTCCATTTCAGGTGTGAAGCCATACCAATGCGAGCAGTGCAAAAAATGCTTCAGCGTCCCGTACGACCTGCGCCGGCACGTCCGAGTCGTCCACGATAAGATAAAGAAGGAAGACGATCCCAAAAAGAAAGATAAAAATAAAAAAGAAGAAAAGCCAAAGACAAAGGAGAGCAAGAAGAAAACGGTCAAACCGCCCAACGTCACGATTCAGAAGTCCGCGAAGCCGACGGAGCTCGGGTCGAGTCAGTGTAAGGACTTTTACTACGCGGACCAGGATATCAAGCGGGAGATGAAGTTTAGGAACGAAATCGGAGACGAATTTCGGAATAACACCGATGGGAAAATGCCTATTTTTTCCAATGTCGAAAAGTCGAGTGTGGTTTTGAACGACCTGAGGAGTTTGGACACGAGTCGAAGAGACGTGAGTGGTGATATTGAAATATTCGACAAACTCGCCCTCTACAACATGCCAGCCGTTTGAACTCCTCGCGATTCCTATTAGAGTTCAAATAGCAAATTTATTCAGATTTTAACCTAAAGTAGCATGATATTGTCTCTTCGATTTGACCTCAAAAACATGTCTATACTGGTACAAGATGTTTTTCTCGAACCGCGATCTCGTCTTGATGTTTGTCAAATATGTCAAACAGTGAAATAGCATTTTGACGGGTCTCAAAACCGTCCGTATTCTAGAACGGCACGTTCTAGAATACGGACAGTAAAAAATGCTGATTTAGGTCTGTATTCTCAAATATTAGTCAGTCTCTTGACATTTAGCAGTCTACAAGATGACCTGACACGTTTAATAATAGGATAAGATGGCATCCCTATATTATATTCCTAAACATATGTATATTGGTAACTTTCAATGTTGCCATGTGATATTTAAATATGGCAACATTTTTAACACAAAAATTATGAATAATTAATTGTATTTTATTTGTATACCGCTTAAATATAAGAACGGGCAAATTGTTATCCTTGAAGTGGGTAATGCGACTGATATTAAACTATTTAATTATATTATTGCGTTTTATTAACTCGTTATTGATTAAATGGGTTAAAGTCTTGATCATAAAGGCTAACTCATATCTGAGTAACCGTACTTTATATTATTTTTTTTTTATTATTAAGCCTTTATTGCTGACAACCAGTATAATATATTAACACTTATTTAAGTTACGTAAAAAAAACTTAATTCAAAATCATGAATAAAACTTAATCTAATACGTCTCTTGCCCCGTGTGACACATAGGCCTCTTTCAGCTGTTTCCATTATTTTCTGATGTTAGCTCTTCTTGTTCAAGTTGTGCCTCCTATTTTCTTTATATTGTTTGCCCATCTCTTGCTCTGTCTTCCTCTTTTCCTTTTTCCATCTCGTGGTTACCATTCTGTAATTATTTATGTCCATTTCAACCTACTATCTCTCGTCATGTGCCTGGTCCAGCGCCATTTTAATTGCCTTATTTTCTTTATAATGTCCTCTGCTTTGGTCGCTGATCTTATCTCTTCTGCTCTTTTTCGATGTCTCAGTGTTACACCCACCATGCTTCTTTCCATTCCTCTTTGGCATGTTCTCAACTTTAGAAGATGTTTCTGAGATAATGCCCAAGTCTGGCAGCCGTATGTAACACAAAGTAGGATACATAGATTGAACACCTTTTTCTACACTACCATTGGGAAGTCTTTTGTTAGTATTTAAATTGTTTATATTAAATTAATATTAAAATCTAGAACTTTCTAAAGAAATGTAAGGCAAAATCAACAGTCACGATAAGAGTGCCGCAAGCGCATGTCACGTTCACGCGTCACGTGACGTCACATTACGCCGACTTGCGTAAGATTACGTCAAAGCCCCACCTCCATTAGTGCTTTACGGTAATGGAATTTAGACTTTATATATTTGAATTTATGTTGCAAACTATGTGTCTACTGCGGGGTCGATACTACCTACGGATAAAATAAATGTAGTTTGGTCGCAATTGACTAATTAAATAGATGACAAGTTCTGTTCCGTTCAAGTGTAAGTAATTTTAAGATAAAGTTCATCGACTCCTTTGGCCTATTTTTAATTTTATATATTTATCCATTAATTATTCACTGTTGTTTAAGATTAATTATCGACATAAACAGACAGTATTCTTCATAGAACCCTTTATAAGAAAAAATACTGTTATCTGCCTTGCGATTCTGTAACTCACTTTTCGAACTCTCACAGCGGTTTTCGCAGCGGAGGTCGCGCAAATAAAAGCAATAAACTACAAGCTCCCTCCTTATCTGAATGCCAAATCGTAAAATGACTGCTTCACGACTGATTTGAGCGCGACCGCCACTGCGAAAACCGCTGTGAGAGTTTGAAAATTGAGTTACAGAATAGCAAGGCTGTATGTAAAAATATATAGGTATTAAAATAAAATACTGAACGGCTCCATGGATACCTGTAATGCAAATACGGAATACGGGTTGCAACTCGAAGCTGTAATCATTTCCTTCGGGGCGAGACGAATGTGTGGTAATAGACCCCGGATCATATTAGATTTATGATTCACTTTTAAAAAACAAAACAATATGTATAATTGGTATCTCCAAAACGTTGAAACAGGTCAAATCTATCTATAACTATATATTTATATGTATATACTGAAATACATAAAAGATAGCTTTTACAACAATATTTGTAAATGGCCTTACTTCTACTAGCGCTTCCATGAGAAAGAAATATTAAAGATAAGTACTTAATCCAAGGCGACAGCGTTCCTAGTAGATACGTGTGAAATTAAGATTTCTCGTACATATACTCTTACACATGTGGTGTACTGGTGAAACTCGTGGTAGATGTACTGGTACCTTAAATCTAGGTGAGATTTTCCCATAATTTTTAATTACTAACAGATGTCCCTTTCAAACGCAAAGCTGTAACTGTTATTTCGAAATAACAGGCATAGCATCAGTCATCTTTATAAACATCAAAGCGAGTCTAAATAAAAGTAGTGGAAGAACAAAAATAGTTGGTAAACATCTAATTTTATCCATCTATTCCAGTATGTACCGCGGCTTGTGATGAATTATTTGTTGACTTGTGTTTTTATTGCTTATTTTATTCGATGCAGTATTTTACACTGCAAATGATAAGTGGGATTTCAGTAGAATATTTTGTCACTTGAAACGAGATACTCCGATTTTGCTTAATCCATATGCCCATACATGGACACAGCTTGCGTATTTTAACACTTCTGCCATCGCTTATATATGAACTGGATCCTAAACGACCTTACTTGATTACTCTATAAGATTTGTACAATATTAACCTTTTTATTTAAAATTGTACACAAGTGGAATTGTGTTTCACTTTTCATGAATAATTATAAAAATAAAATAAATAAATCAGTGGCGCTACAACCTCTTTAGGTCTTGGCCTCAGATTTCTGAATCTGTTTCATGATCATTTTTAAATCTAATAGACAAGTAGATGATCAGCTTCCAGCGCCTGACACACGCTGACTTTTTGGGTCTAAGACATGTCGGTTTCCTCACCATGTTTTACTTCATCGTTCGAGCAAATGTTAAATGCGCACATAGAAAGAAAGTCCATTGGTACACAGCCGGGAATCTATCCTATGACCTCAGGTATGAGAGTCGTAAGCTGAAGCCACTAGGCCAACACTGCTCATTATTTATGAATAATTCTAATTCTATTTAATATCGTTTTGAAGAGAAGACAAAATGTGTTAAATTTGTAACTACAAATGTAAAAAGTAGTCATTCTCAAATAATCATTAAAGACGAGGAAATAGACTTTGTTGATAATGCGGTGTTCTTGGGAATTACTTTAGATAGTAAACTCCAGTGGGGCCGACACATAGAAGGTCTTTCGAATAGGCTAAGTTCCGCAGCGTTCGCAGTAAAAAAGATACGCGATCTTACGGATGAGAACACAGCAGTGCTTGGATATGAGTTGCTCCAGTATATATTATAGGTAACACGACTGAATCTCTCGGCTGCATTTCCAGACTCTGGGGCGATCGTCAACATCCACGACTGTTTTAATGTAAAGTGGGAACAAACCGTGATCCATGTAGTATCCAATTATTTCAGTATTATTATTATTTTCTTATGTAGCCAAGTCCACATTTCAAGGATCGTCATGCTCGCTTAAATGTCATTGCTTGTGGCGGCGTCCATGCGTCGGGTTGTCTCTCTCCCTAAAATATGGCGAGGGGGCCGATGGCTGGCCATGCGTCATACTCGTGAACGGGTGCTACTTGTGGTGACTGGTCGTACTTGAATTCGTGTATGCGGCGATGTTAATTATTTCGACTATGTGTTTGCGTGTTGTTCCCACGAGAATGTAAGTGCGTGCTCCTATTTCACCATGCCTCCTGCTGATACGGGACAAGTCTTTGTTTTTATTTATGTTATTATTATTAATTACTTAAAATGTCATGTGGAACATGGTGTAATGGTTGCAGCTCCTTACAAACGTTGTAAAAAAAAAAAAAAAAACATGGCGATTAAAAAGAGTGGCGGAGAGTTTATTGCCAGTTCTTCTCTTCCGTTCTACGCCCTTGATTTGAGAACTGGCAGTAAATGTAAAATTAGAAGCATTAATATTTATTTCTTTAATGACGAATCACAAGTGTACATTGTGTTACCTACGTGAATAAATGATTTTTGAATTTGAATTTGAATTTGGGTAAGTGCCTCCTCAATTTCCTTCCAATGTTGTCTGGTTTTGTTTGCAGCCATTTTCTGCAGGCGACAACAACAATATGATCCGCTCACCTTCGTTGCGGTCATCCAATGCTTTTCCCAAAGTGGTACCCGTTTCAAGCGTGTCGTTCACTTTGTTAATCCATCAGTCTTTTCTTGTTCCTAATAATGTTATTACTTATTTTGTCTAATTTTTAGGAGGCTCCTTACCAAGGCTCTTTAGCTTATCATATCATAGTTAATCTTATGATATTCTATGCAAAAATAATAATCCGCTGTTTGCAGTACCCATATTGGCATCAGATTGCATTTGTTCCTATCCGAGACGACCCGTCTTTATCTTAAATTTATACTTGAATGAGTGCGCGTGCGCAAATTCAGCATTACCTTATTACAACACCGTGACTCAGTCATTATTAACATGTACGCTACACCGACATTCCAGTACGTAAATACTGTACTGTGGTTAAAAATAACTCTTCCAAATTATCGCAGTGATTCAGTGAGACCACGTGACAAACTATGTAATGAAATGACGATATGTATAACCGTTTAACTTATTTCAAATAAATCTTAGAGTCTCGTGGCTAGCCGGTTTTGTAAAGCGAACTTGTCGCATTTGGTATGACTACCGGGCGGAGCAGATTTTAATTAAATTTTTAAATTGTTCTTCCTCTACTCTGATGTTTCTATGGCACTTGTTTTGTTTGTTAGAAATTATGCTGATAGGACAAAAACATAGTCCGAGACCGAAATTAGTCTTTGTCAAAG